AAGGGTTATTTATAACATTTTTCATATCAATAAAAATACTGCATTATTCTAAATATCAATAGATGTAATTGTCTCTTTTGATGAAAATTTGAAAACATGCAAAACACAAATGATACTTTTTTGGTTGCCTCTAAAAATTTAACATAGAAACTCAAAATCACTAAAAATATCATGCTAATGGAAATTAAACCTCATTAGATAGCAAATATTGTATAAGTTTTGACAAAATCCAATCATGTAAGCATAACAACAACTATGAAAATTTAGAATGGAGAAAGATCAAGTAAAGATCAACCAAATAACAATCCACGCCTCCACCATTGTAAGGATGTACTTCCTTGGATGTTGATAGTCTCTACTTTCATGATGCTAGAAAGTTTTACATCCATTGAGCACTCAAGTACAAAGAGAAAACAAAGTACTAAAAATAAAATATTATTGGAATTGGTGTTTACATAACTCAGGTATCATATATTTATAATCATAGAATTTCCCTCCCAAATAATAAAGCATAGTCAACGGCTAATGATTCATTTGAAGCATTTGATGCTCTCAATTAAACTCATGCATGAAAACAACCTATGAAGGACTCGACCATGATACACTTGCTGAGTTGGCAAGACAAAACAATTGCAAAATTAGATAAATGCAAGGGATAAACTCTTAGACGCTTTACATTGTTGGAACTCGTATGGAGAGCTAGCTTCTATCAATGAGAAGACAATGAACTGGATCTCACATGGAAGTATAGATGGATGGAGTGTACAAATATCTAGCAGCCTAAAGAGAGAGAGCCAGCTCGGCTTATTAAGGGCCTAAAATACATAATAATAGAGGTGGCACAATCTAATTGAAAACCAAAGCAACAAACATATATGAATGAATAGGGCCAAAATTTTTGAATCAATGATATGACAATAAACCAAATTTAACTAGGGATTAGAGATCTGAACTGACCCAACGGAACCAAATCAAATCAACAAAATGGGTTAAACATTAACGAAGGCAATTTGTTATCATAGAAATCATCTTACACATGACAAAACTATAGTTGAATCTAGAAATTAGAAGATGTACTGAAATATAATCAACTAAATAGTGCTCAAGTCATCGAAGTTCCCATCACAATACATATGTTCTGTGTTTTTGGTTGGTATAAGCTTTGACATTTATCTAGTCTGTTACTACTTGCAATCGCAATGCCATTGCTCAATAGAAATTACTCTTAACATGTTCTAAAACATTGAAAGGGAGAAATTTTTTTTCTATTTCACGCTGAGAATTTTAGATTTTTTTCTTTTTTGAATTTTGAAAATTCTAATTATGTTTTTTAGGAATAGTAATATCTAAACTAGTGTATTTTTGGAAACTGGCTGTAGGCTGGAGGCTTTCTCGCGAAAATGAGGGAAAGAATAATAATTTATTCCTTAGTGAAAGTTATGAGTTTTTTTTTTTTTGAAATTTAAAATTCAAGAAAAGTTGTACATCAAAATAAGTGCCAAGGGAGTTTTCCAAACAAATATGTTTTATAAATGCCATTAGTGTTCTTGCCGACTCCAACTCACCCTCAATTCCATGGTTAACACCGAGGAGATGAGGTTAGCTTGGATGCCTTTAGCATTAAAAGTGCATTTTCAAAATTTAGGTTTGGATAAATACCCGTTAATATAAATTTAATTAAGTAACATTTTATTATTTTATAATTTTTAGGATTTATATCAATTTTATTTTGATTTTTAGATTTTTTTTTTAAATTTAAGTTGCCATGGATTATCCATTTGGATAATATTAGGCTTAAATTGGAATTATTGAAGATTTGATTTCATTTCTTATTGGATTAAAATTGATTTTAAATTAATTTGTCTATCTTTGTGACTTTGTTCTATAAATAGGGGCATGACTTATAATGAGGATTATCATTAAATTATATATATATATATAAAGACATGCGCACGAGCACACACACATATATAAAATAATTGAATAATATAATAAAACGAAATATAAAAAAAATTTGACACGCTTGGGTCAATTTGAGCATAACCTTCTTGTCAATTTTGATTTAAAGAGTAAATCATCCCAATTCAAAGCATTTAGCGATCGAAACAATTAGAGAGAAGGGAGAAGAAGGAGAGATCTCGTGCTTCTCTTACCGGAGGAACGATGACGTTGCGATATTCCTAGGATTTGTTTGCGAGAGATGACACCGAAGAGAAGGATAGAAAAATTCAAACTAATTACAAGGGTTGCTTCTTTGTCCTGACAAAGGAAGACGGAAAGAGAAGGTTTGGTAACTAGAGTCAAAGTCGAAGCCCCAACAAGCCTTGCTCTTTTGCGTGCGAGCAACGTTGTGAGTTGTGAGTAGGAGAGGAAAAAGATGAAGTCTACAAAGCAATGTGTAGGAAGACAAAAGTAGCTTTCGTACTAGAGGAGCGGAGTTCGAGCAAAATGAGAGGAAGGAGAGAGAAGCGGCTCGTGCGAGAAGAATTGAACTAAGTTGAGTAGCCCTAGTTTGCGGGTTTTGCTCTCTTATGGGAGTTTAAGTTGCACCGAGCCAGTGAATTGAGAACTAAGATATCCTAAATCAAGTAACTCTTGCTTCGTAAGATTTGGAAACCAAAATTGTTGACTTTAATATAAGGAGAAAGAAAAGGTGTGGAATAGATTTTGGTGTTTTTATTTAAATTAATTTGAAATGCTAATAAGTTAATACTAATATCTTATGAATTGAAATTCGTGATTAAGATTGTAAGGCCAAACAAATTAACTTACAAAATAATTTTTTGTGCTTGAAATGAATAATTATATTTCTAAATTTCATTAATTTTCATTCTTTCTAAATGTATAGTTGATTTTATTTATGTTTTATTCTAGTAAGATTAACATTACATTAAATTCTTCATATTGTTAGATAGAAAAAATATACAAGATAAATAATTACACATCAGAGTAAGTATGTATATTAACACTACTGCATAAATAGTTGCGTACTAGTTTTCCTATAAAAACATCAAATTATTGCATGACATTTAGAAGTATACATGTTAAGAGTTCCGCATAAAATAGTTGTAGAATTGTTTATATGTTAAATTATGCATTTATTCATTAGTAGATGAAAGTAAGTGACCCATAAGAAAGTAATGTATGCCTCGAAAAATGAAATGAAAATACTGTTTGTATAAATGCTTGTATGTATATGCTAAAAAGAGGAGTTCACCCTCTTATGGTACTGGTTGGGGATGCCAATGTACCCGCGTACATGGATGTTTTTGCTATCATCTTAGCCAATTGTGAAACTTGACTATCCATTATGCTGACAGGAGAGTATTGATTGGGGATGAGTATGCATTTTTTTATCTCAGACAATTGTGCAATTTATATCTCTAACCGTTGTGCCAACGGGAATGTATAGGGCAGGGATAAGTAGACACTATTACATCTCAGATAATCTTGTAAATTAAATCACGAACTGCTGTATTGACGGGATAATATTAATCAGGAGTGTGTTAGGTGATGTTTTATGAACTACTGTACTGACTGGATAATGTTAGTCACGAGTGTGTTAGGTGATGTTTGATGATGCTCCTGAGATAGATTTGAAAGTTAAATGCATGACGTAAAAGTAAAGGTGAAGAATAAATCTTGAAAAGTAATGTTAAAGTTAATGTATATAAAGTTTTAAATTTTTTTGTTTCAATAAATGTCAATAATACATGCATTATATTATTATATGAATTTCTATAATAAAATATGAAAGACCAAGATGCAATTGCTTTCTTTTCTTTGGCTTATTGTAGTTTACAAGTATAATTGCTTCACTGGGTTATCCTAGATAATTTATTATATTGTTTTAATATTTTTTCAAGTTTTAAGCTTTTGAATAAGATAAGTACTAGTGGAGATAATGTTTATTGAATGTAAGATTGGTGAGGTAAACATTTATTCGTTAATTAAAGTACTTTCTTTAGTGACTCTTTTAATTAATATATGGAAATTAAACTTTTAGTGATAGAAATAGAATAATATAAAACTTAATTTCACCATCAGACCGTCTGTTCTCGTCTCGGTTAATTCTAAGTCCTGACCAGGTCGTGACAAAATGAATTGTAGTCGAAGTTACTCTTCTCTCTCCCCCGCCCTAGCTATACATTATCCACTCTATCAATAATGTGGCTCAACCATAGTCTTTATGTGTAACATATACTTTTAGGATTATATCCACAAATAATTTACTGCCTACAAATTGGTTGTGGTTAAATTTACGTGAGCATTAATTTACTGACTTTGGTTTGGTAGATAAAAAATATCAAGATCAATGTTTGTATTATGTATAAATTTATGAAAGATTAGCATATATTCGAGTTGGCTCAGTGACTTTTATGACATCATATTATTTCTCAGTGTCCTACCCATGTGTAGTGAAGTTTTGTCTGTGCTTGGCATGCTCATTTAAACTTTAACATGCCATTCTTTGCCCAATGTTACCATACCTTTAAACCTGGATAACAGTTAAACAAGGTGGTTTTTGTGTGGTCACATGTCCGAGTTCGGGTGTGCAATGAAGGGTTGGGGCTAGTCCATGTTAAAATGGTAGTTTCTCCTTGAGATGAGCTGGATTTGAATCTTGTCTTCTTTTTCTTGTATGTGGTCCTATTAGCTTAATTCGATACTTGTCTCGTTAAAAAATTGGGTGATTTTTTCTGAGGTTTCCTAACAATGAAGTGTTGTTTTACTTGGTTTGTGATGAAAAAACATATGTTCTTTTTTTTTGTGTAAGCTAACGTCAACTACCAAGTTTACTCTCTTGCTGTTTTCATACTAGCCTGAATATAGCGCTGTGGTGATATCCGTTATTGTCTTTCAAAGTAGATGGACAATCTCTATTCCTATAAATGATTTATGCGCTGCCTCAAAATTTGATGACAACGTACTTTTTTTTTGAAGTTTCTCTTCACTCCTTTTTTGCTTAATTGATTTATTTGCCTCAAATCAATTTTCAGCTTTACCATTTGGTAAGAAGAAGCCTCAAAGGCTAGTCAGTTTGTGTATTGGTGTCCTTGGTCAACATTTAGAGGATATCATTTCAGACATATCGGAGATTGCTTCAGAATTTCCTGCTGGTATCAAGGTATCTTAGTGAAATGAAGAAGTGATGAATTTATATTTTATTACTGGTTTATCATCTTTCGGTTAAATTAAATCTCCTTTGTCCTTCTCAACGTTTATTGAAACTTAGGTTAGTTGCTATATTTTTTATATCAAAAGCATTTTTTTTAAAAAATATTTGAACGAACTTGTATTCACTGGAGGCATGTGCACATATGTAGCTCTAATCTGTTATTTGATATCTGGAAATGCATTGTATGTACTTTAATATAGGTCATAAAGCTAGTTATGTTGATTTAAGGCCTAGTTGGCATGCTTTCCTTTCTCTGGTGGTATCTGGCATGCAGTTTACTGCAAAAATGCAGGATGCTGGGAACAATTTACCCTCTCGCAATCACAACTGTTGCTTCTGCTGCTAGCGTAACCCTGACAGCCATCCCGTTTGACAATGTGGCGGACTCGTGTAGTCATGCAAAGCAAACACTTAGATTCATGTATCCTTGTAGCTGTTGACTATGAGAAGAAAATATACTTTGAGTTAAATTTCATTAGTTTCTTGGATCAATTGCTCTTGTTGTTTTGTTTTGAATGCTCAAACTTCATTCACGCATTCATTGCTGTACTGCGATGAGTGCAGTCTCATTCTGTACCTGGTTGGATCTAATTTTTCTCTGCTGTTGGAGAATTAAAAAATGCCAATAGGATGATTTCAAATGGTTGGAATAAGAGGCGTATAGATAATGATGATGATAGAGTGTATGATGTAAATGCTATCCAGTATATTTCTACTTCAGATCATATGAAATAAAACAATTTAAAAGCATTGTGCTGTCAATTTTGTATGCTTCATGCACTTAATCGCATTGATACCTGCATCGGTTTGTCTGGCATCATTCAGAATGGGTCTTTTATGAACAATGGTATCGGTGAACTATCTTATATGACGTTTTTTTCTTGACATTATTCTGCTTTTAGTACATTTGTAAGCCTTCGTTCAACTGTGTGCAGTTGGTGCTGTTGGCAATTGCAAGAAGGAGACAATTACTGAATGACAATGTACTGCTGGCGCTAGCTGAAAATTTATGGGAGACTTTAGACTTATCTGGTTCTGATGTTACTGATATTGGCTTGTTAAAAGTATCTCAGATATGCACTAATTTGCGAGCTGTTGATATAAGGTATGGAGCTGGTTTGCAACTTTTCTATGTTTTTTAAAAGTTTACTGTTTAAGAGTTGAAATAATTTTTTTCATTTATTAAATTATTTATTTGTTGCACATCTTGATTTTAGGCTTTCTTGGACTTTGTAAGTTTGCCTGCTCCGTTGAAGCTTTATCAAAAGTTCTCTCCGACTTTAGTGGATTGTTAACCGCTAAATTGCTCCCAAATTTGCATGTTTTACTTTATGAAAATCAGTCTAGTGTTTTGAGCTTAATTATCTTACTTCATAACTTATATCTTGATCTTTGTCATTTTTTTTTCATGATTTTGTTGGCTTTCATATACTTTGCATTTGTATCAGCTTAAATCCATCTAAGCTTCATTATCTCTTTCCCCTTCGGTAAGCAATACTGAGCTCTTTTAAATCACTGTCTCCTAATTCCATTTTCCATATATTACCTCTGGGTTCTTCAACTTGTCAAGCTTTTTCTTAATATGGGTTAAACTTTTGTCTGTTTAAATTCAAAACATTTATTCTGAGAAACTATACTCTTAATTGCTTTTCTCATCTTTAAGATACATGGCTCCATAACTAATACCTTGTACTTGATGGATTATCCTATTCTTCTATTAGAAAATTAAGGGGCTACTCAACCTCAAACCATAACTGCCTAGCTAAGTACTTCATTACCCTTATTCTAGAGAACTCTATTTCTACTACAAATATGTGTAAGGTTACGTTTACTGGGCTGCTAAGGAAAGTAGTTTAACCTTTACCCTTACCTTTCTCTGTTTTCTGCCTTTTCCATTTTCTCCGCTTGTTCTCATGGTAGGCAAAGCCATAGGCTTAATCTAGGGGGCATCTTTCTCACCCGGTCAGCTGGGTTTGCCACCGACGATCGACTGGTCCGGTGCTGTATTTCATCTTCTATTTTGGTTGCCTACTAGTCTAGTGAGGTAAATCGTCTGATTCCTATATGGCAAAAACTGAAGCTTCTGAATCCCAGACACCGAAATTAAAAAAAAAGAAACAAGGTTAAGACACATAATTTAAATGGAGGGAAATAAGATAATAATAATTATTATTATTAATAAAATTTAACCTATTATACATACATACATACATATACATACATACATACATACATACATACATACATACATACATACATACATACATACATACATACATACATACATACATACATACATACATACATACATACATACATACATACATACATACATACATACATACATACATACATACATACATACATACATACATACATACATACATATATATATATATATATATCTATATATACATACATACATACATACAGATACATACATATACATACATACATACATACATACAGTTGGCATCTAAGAGTCAGTTGTAAGTTCCCAATGGTTGGGGGTTCGAAGCGCCCTTTGGCAACGGTTGCTGTATGGAGGGTCATACTCGAATTATTAGGTACATTAGGGGTGGTTGAAGGCTCATATAATAAACTCCGTGTTTTGGTGTATTTATATAATAGAAAAAAG